CTCTTCTGCCCCTTCTTCCTTCCTTTTCTTCCTTCTGTCCTCTTTTTCCTTTTTTTATGAGTCAGAGTTGCTCTGTTACCCAGGCTGGAGTGCAGTGGCGCGCGATCTTGGCTCACTGCAATCTCCACTTCCTGTGTTCAAGTGATTCTCCTGCCTCAGCCTCCTGAGTAGCTGGGATTAGAGGCTCATGCCACTATGTCTGGCTAATTTTTGTATTTTTAGTAGATATGGGGTTTCACCATGTTGGTTAGGCTGCTCTCAAACTCATGACCTTGTGATCCACCGGCCTTGGCCTCCCAAAGTTCTGGGATTAAAGGCATGAGCCACTGCGCCCGGCCTCCTTTTTCTTTTTCTATTCTTTTAAAACATAATTTTGAGAAATAAAAGACAAATTTATGACCAGTTATTACAATGATCCACCACCCTGGCAACATCTCACAATTCGCTTTGTACAAGTCCCATACTGTTACCCTGGAAAACTAAGAAAGAAAACTACAATAGTAATGAAACCTTCAATTACTTCATTTCATATACTTTTTATATAATTTCTGGTTTAAATAATATTATAATAAGTAATTTTTAAACAAGTCTGCTTGTTTTTCTTTTGTTAACAAAAACTAAAGATTAAATACAATAAAAATTGGGATAATATAAACAGGTATAACATTGTGTAAAGGTTTTTATTTTGCCTTCTTACATGCAATTTTCTTGGTAGATAAATGAAAGTGAAAATATGTTGGCAACTACATATCATTCTAAACTATATTTGGTCTGAATCTTGTGAAAGTAATGTTGAAAACATCACATATCACCATTGAATATATTCAATGATGACTAAACGCACACATTTTACAAAGGTATAGAAGAATTGCCACATTTAAAGGCAGAAAGTTGTTAACTTACTGTATTTAAAAATGTATACTGTTTGAACTTATCCTTAATGTTAATCTTATTTCTAGAGGTTATGATTCCCAAATGGTATAGAAATGTTGACTCAGAACTGAGTCAACCATAGCCAAAAGGACCTCCTGAAAGATGTCATTAGCCTGAGGGTGAGTAAGGGATCTGTAGTTGAAAAACGGAACTAGAAAATTCAGGTGATATGTCAAAGGTTCAGCTCTCGTCTAGAGAACTGCATCACACTCTTCCATGTTTCTTGGATGTTTGATAAAAGTCATTTAGATACAGAGGTAGAATATAAAAGTCAAAGTTATCAATCCAAGCTCCTTGCCCCTTGTTGTTTTCAAAGCGGTGCTTTATGCTTTGTTTCTCTCTTTCAAAATAAGTTTCCTAGGTATGACATTATTTTTCCAGTTTATAAACAAGAAAATTAAAGCACAATAAAAGATATAAAATCTACCTGAAGAAGTGGAAGTATTAGACTCTGAACCTGAATACACCTGATTCTAGAGACTAATTATTTAATTACAGTATAATTACAGTATAATTACAGCGTTACAGTATAATGGTTAAAAGTGCAAGCCTTCAAGCCAAATCAACTAGACTTGAGTAGTGTGAATGTGACCTATAAGCTTTGGGATCTTGGAGGCTGATTTTCTCGCCTATAAAATGTATATAACAATGGTGTCTATTCATAGCATTGTCATGATGAAATGAGTTAATATATGTAAATCAGATTAGTGCTTGGAACTTTAAGAAGCCCTATATAAGCCTTGGCTCTTGGTATCACTCCATTGTTTGCTGTTGGAATTAGTTTGTAAATTTAGATATAGTTATGTTAAAGTCTCTTCACAATAGTTCTGGACACCTTACTTTTCAGGATTATCTGATGTGATACAATGACGCATTACACTAAATTACCAACATAATAAAAGTATAATATAGGCTTAGTATTTCACATAATCTTATAAGCTTTTGTAAAGCAGTATTGATTCATCCTCCCATGGGAGGTCAGTATACAATGTGAAAAGAAAAGCATATGTGAATAGAAAGTATTATCTCTATGAAAAACAATATTTTATTTTCCTTATCTTCCTGTTGCTATAAAATAATAATTGTTACCCCCTTCGCATGCCTGGGGAGGACGGTAGAGAAAAAGAGAAAGAAACCTTGAAATATACATTAACGTATCTAATATTATACTTCTTTTCTTTCAATTTTAGGCATGGTTAAATAAGGAAATTATTTATGCTGCAGGTTCTTGTTAAGTAAATCTCTTTGTCAAATGCAGGAGCACAGCTTCATTTGACATTGCTCCAGTCGAAATATTTTTATTTTTGTCCCCAGTAAACACAAGTCCAAGGTGGCTGCAATTGTCCTTTTCTACGTTGTCCTCAAATGTCAGTAGTTGGAGTCAGAATTCAGCTGTCACCTCTTAGAGAAAAGCTTTACCTGTTTTATCTTTCTGTCAGGGACATAGAACAATGTAATGAAATATGATTGAAAAAGCTTTCAGATATAAGATCAGTAAATGAAATCATGCATTTATGTGATGAAAGTAAATTCCCTTCTAATAGAGCTATTTTTAAAGTTCAAACAGATCCTTTCCATGTAAGATGTGTTCAAGTCTCACCAAAATTGAAAACATTATGATACAATTTTATTGTAAACAAAGACTTGGATATATTTATTGTAACTTATACTTTCTGTATTAAATATTGGGATGGGCTGAACTGCATCTCCCCAAAAATTCATATGTTGAAGCCCTAACCCCTAGAACCTCAGAATATGACTGTCTTTAGAGATAGGGCCTTTAAAAATAAAGGTAATTAAGTCAAAATTAGGTTATTAGGGTGGACCCTATACCAACATTACTGATTGTACATATAAGAAGAGGAGATTAGGACACATGGAGAGGCATCTGGGGCATGCAAGCCATGGAGAGGGGCCTTACAGGAAACTAATCCTGCCTGTACCCCTATCCTTCACTTCCAATCTCCAGACCTGTGAGAAAATAAACTGCTGTTGTTTAACCTACTCTTTCTGATGTATTTTGTGTTGGCAGTTGTACCAATCTAATAAAGATTTGAAGCAATATCGTGTCAAATGACAGCTATATAAATTAGTACGTAGAGAAGTTTGGGAATTACATTTTTCTTAAATATCTATTATTTTAAAATGTTATTAATCTTCTTGCTTTTATTTGATAACATGCCTTCGTATTCATAAATATTGTAGACAATAGTGTTTTGAAATAAGCATGAATATGTGATTTTGGTAATTTTATTTGCATAATGTAGTTTAATCTGAAAAAGCATCATATATGCAATTAGATTTGTAATTGACAATGACTATCATAAAAGGAAGTCAAGTTCACATGTTACAAGAAAACCTCCTTCTTTGCTTTAATTTTACTCACCAGATTAACCAGCACTTTTAATGCCCTCTGAAAAAGAATTTACATGGCTCACTTCTTGTTGGCTACACACTTGCTTGCAAGCATTTTTCTGCATTGACATGACTATATATGGTAGTATTGTTTGCTAACCATATAGAGCCAGTTTTACTTATTATTGCAAGTATATAATACAATTATTATGTAAAACTATGAAATTCAAATGTGGAAAGATGGTGCTTTTTTTTCCATTAAAATTAAGCTGTTTTGAGAAGTCAAAATATTGAAAACAGCCTTAAAAATGATAATCAAATAAGGTGTTTGTGAGAAATTTGAAAAGTACTGAATAAAATAATCACACAAATCTGGAAAGATACAGTAAGATTATTTGGTAACTTTTTGGCATTAAGACATTGAAAAGGAAATCATAGAGCTGTAGGAATTTATTTTATGCAATACAAACACAGGGGAAATTTAAGTCTACTGGTTTTTTTCATAGTGTTGTATAATAGAAATAATAAAATCTAGACTGAGCACTGTGGCTCACACTTGTAATCCCAGCGCTCTGGGAGGCCGATTCGGGTGTATCACAAGGTCAGGAGTTCGAGACCAGCCTTGCCAACATGATAAAACCCCATTGCTACTAAAAATACAAAAATTAGCCAGGTATGGTGGCAGGGGCATGTAATTCCGGCTATTCGGGAAACTGAGGCAGGAGAATCACTTGTACCCAGGAGGCAGAGGTTGCAGTGAGCCGAGATCATGCCATTGCACTCCAGCCTAGGGAACAAGAGCGAGACTTGATTAAAAAAAAAAAATGCAACTTCGTCGGAGAACATGAACCAGAAAAAAATAAAAATAAAAACAAAATAAAATCTATACAGCACACTGTGGAGAAAAGTGAAAGATTGCTCATGGCTGGTGTTAAATGGCCTG